GTTAATTATTCATATTTCCCCATGAGCTAAATTCGCTACAATATTTATCTTGCTATAGTTGTGTACATCCCTTTTATTGGGAATATACAGTATGTCAATACACAATAAAATACACGAAGTCAACGTAATATGCTAAACTTATTCTGTGATAATTATGTTCTTTTTAGTCACTATAGTAACAATTGTTATTTTACTTTAAACCATTATAAATAGTTATTACGTGTCATGCACCTACCGTACACATGTATATATAATGGCACACATCATCATGACCACCAAAGCCACAACAACAACTCCAATCAGGACAGAGAGATGATTCAAACCTAATGAAGAATAAATGAGTGTTGCTACAACTGATGATTCACTGATTCAGTCAAACAAGTGCAAGTAAGTCCCATCATAATCTTTAAACAACAAAATAACAATAATGGCAAGGAAAGAGGAACAATCTGAAAAGTAAGAGATTAGATTAGCATTCCCATTGAAGTCAGTGACTGTCACTCAGCTGATGAATGAACAATTTACACGTGTTTCATTAACAGACTGACATTAACAGATGTTAAACTTTATCTTATACTGGAAGAATCATATCTGAAACTCACATGCAGCAGATGAAGGCAGCTGAAAGAGTTGACTTGCATTGCCATGAGTGTTGTTGCTGGCAAACACAAGCAGAAATAAATACTGAAGCATTCAGACACATCAACACATTTCTGATGAGTCCTAAACTTTTTTTTCCATTTTCTATATAATTGCAGTAATGGATCATTTCTATAATAGGTGAACATAAGCAGAACAACAGCAACAGTGAAATCTAGTGAAATCACTTTTATCTTTTTTTAAATTACAAGTATAACAAACCAATAGCAAAAGTGCATGCATGGGAAAATAAATGTTTAATTCAAACATCTAAATAGATTTGAGTCACATATGCCAAGAAATGGATATTCTGTTATCCAGTTGGAGGACATCAAATATATTTGATTTTTAAGACGATTCTAGAACATACAGTATATCACAGTGTATGATGTGTCTTATAACTGACTTATTGCCACTCACCTCCAACTCCCACTGCAATCTGTAGAGGGTCACTACAACAAAGAATGCAGTCAGCTCCTGCTGCTTATACATTCATGAACATAAAAGTTTTATCTCTTTTGTAGCATTTTTAGTTTTTTAATAAGCAAGTAAAAATGTTTAACTCCTCTTCATACTAGAAGACTGACATGTTTGAATCAGTGAAAGAAAAGCTCTAGAGTGTCTGTTGAAGTTGTTCAGCAGTTTGTATGCTTGTTTTGGTTGGTAAAAAGCGTAACTTTGTTTAAAACCTAAGGTTTTTGTGTTGTGCTTTGAAAA